CTTAGAGACCGTGAACTCAGCTGGCGTCAGTAACCTCGGTAAGTGCCCTGGATGCCTTGATGTTCATGGCCCATGTCTCCTCTTCATAGTCTTAGAAGACCGTAAACTACCTTGTCCGACCGTGAACTGCGGCTATTTCCTGGACGCCTTCACTTCACTGTTACGGGCTTCGGACTTTTCTTCGGTTTTTGTGCTTTTTGACCTCCAATTATCCCAAAACTCATCCTCGACCCTTTCACACGTGCTAGGACCTGAAATGTATAAAAACAAGCACAACCTAGCGTAAAATATGTTGAGAAACGATGAAATACTAAGCTAAACGAATAAGAAATGAGTGGTAAAATGTGTATATTTGGGCCCGAATCAAGAGGTACGAAGGAAGATGAAGAAGTCAAGATCAAAGGAAATTCCATACTGGTTATCCTTGTACCTTTCTCTCTTATGATTTCCTCTATACTTATGAGTAGGTAGACATTAGGATGTTCATTTACGTAAACCCTGGGAAGGTGGTTTGATTTCTTTTTATGATTGAATTGATGTTTGTCATGAGTTCTTGTTAATCGGTTGTGTTTTAGGCAAGATATGAATCCCTTCGTGGTGTAGATCTTAAAATCTGATTTCTTGAAGGGTGAGAGCGGACACGACCGCCCCTCATATCCATCATCAGTCAATTAGACTTCACGAAACATCAAGGGAGAAAGCCTTAGGGTCCTTATTGCTTGTCATTTCGAGTAATTATCGCGACAAAAGACAGGAGGAACTGCACATGATTCAATCCTTTCGAGTAAATTATCGTAAATTGAAATTAGGGGCGCATGGTCTGAGCAATCTACTCCCTTAGGTTTAATTTTTTTTTTTATTGTTTTTAGTGTTGGTTTTAATCCACCTTAATCGAGTATTATATCCGATTTTGAGTAGTCAATCGTTGGAAACCCAAGTAGATACGATCACAATACCATTAGCATATTCAGTAAATTTGATTATACACTACAACATGGCGTGATCATATATTGTTGGAGATTTTACAAAAAAAAGAGTATATTATTGGGGACTTGAGTTAACTAATTTGGTGAAAAGAGGGCTTAAACATCAAGAGCCTCAAATTGGGGGCTTGCATGAAATTTGGCAAGTTCAAAAATTATTGTTAATTAGACATCCAGTATCTTACTGAATGCTTAATTAGGAGAAATTGTTGGTCCCGTAAATATGGCATACCCCAGCTCAAACCACAACTACAATCTACAAAAGCACATATGAGCCCAAACCAATGAAATAACTTCATGATCCTACCGAAGTATAAAAGGAGAATACAAGTTCTTGCTTCTAAATAGGATATTATGCATTCCAAGTAAGAGATCTGCCCCCCCCCCCCCCCCCCCTTCATTGAGACATATAGCTTATCCCTCTACAATGTCCCGCTACCTTTAATATCCTATTGAATATATTTGATTTTTTGAATCAACTCCAGGAATTAATAGGAAGTCAGCACGCGGGTGACGCTCTTTGATTGAAGTCTTTTCTCTGTTTTAAGTCTCAACGTTGCAACTAAAAACTATAAGAGTAATTCGGTTCATATTTCACTTCAACTCCAACTAAAAGGGGATTTACAAATGATACGCTTTGCGTGATCGAGTTTTAAATTTATAAGTCGATGCACAATCTCTATTCAATCCTAACTAAGCCAAGCATAACCTAGCTAAGATTGTAATAAAGTGGCTCAGTCGTATTCCAAGAGAACCGTAAGCTTACTATTACTTCATTCCGAACTACTATCTAATCGAATCAGAAGTTTGGTGAAAAGTCTAATCTAATCTATCCTAAAGGAAAAATAAACAACCAACCAAGTGGTTGGGAGGTTGCTAGGGGTGAGACGGTTGCCTAGGGTCGAATCCTCCTAGTTATGGTTGTCATGTAGGGTTACTTATGATTATCCACACGCCTCCGAGTAAGCATCTCCTAAACCTATATAAGTCACCTAGATCTAGGCTATCGTGTCTAGGGCATTAAGCTCGTAGCTCCTTTCAATGGATACTATCCACCATCCACACCGAGAGAAGATTTAGTGACCTTAACTTCTTCTTTTTTTTTTTTACAATCAGTGACCTTAACTAACCGTTGAAAAGTTCTGTAGTTTTTTCTACTTTCAGTGTGAAGACAAAAATACCATTGTTGTATTTTCATTCTCGTTGCAGGAAAGGTTAAATGGGAGTGTAATTTACAATAACCAACTATTATTATTCTAAATAATCAAATATTAGTATTATTTATTCAATTGTTTTGATGAATGCATTAATATATTGTTTATTGCTGTGCTTGACTGACTTCCTCTCTCAGGGGCAGCCGCGTAACGACCTTCCTGCCTCTGCAAAGTGCTAACCCCTGCCACTGGGAACAATCGAAACGAAAGGGTGTGAGTTCTCCTGCTCTTTGCGTGATTGTCTCTTAAAGTCTTGTTGACCTTTCCATGGCTAGTTGTGCTCATTGCCCATGAATCGGAAAGAATATTCTGTCGGAAATCTGAGAGTTCTAGCTTGGATTTTGGGTACTTTCTGAAATCACTCTTCTTTACACCTTTTTGGGTTTGAGATAAACCAAGTACCGGATTGGCATAGTTGACAAAAGGGTTGAATGAAAGTAAGTAGATGGTTTAACTCGCTAGTTCTTTTTTTTTTTTTTTTTTGGTGAGGTTATAATGATTTTGCCTCTTGGAGAAATGGTATGTGCTCTACTGTTTGAGTTCCTGACCATTAACTTGCGCCGAGCTGTATACAAAGAATCAATTTGCTAGGTTTTGTCCTTCTCTACGTGTATTCCTAGTGGTTCTTCAATTCTGCCTATGGTGACGATGACCTGCTCTTGAATGTATCGTCGATTTGCAAGCATGTATGCTTTTGATGTTGTTCCTTCTGCTTGATCACCTGAATCTCTTAGAGGGAACCCGTTATATGTGGTATGAGATGGCTTTCAGTTGTTAGATCTCCTTGTGACAGAAACTATTATATATGGGTATGTTTCAGGGATATGAAGTGCTTTTCATTCTACACTGGGGACACCGGGACAGGAAGGTTGAACTAAAGGCCACAAATTCTGCATCAGTTATGTCGATGGACTCTTAACTGTAGTTCACTTGGTCGCAGCTTCGAATCACAACTTGCATGTAAATACACAGAGCAATATTTTCAGAATTTCTATGATTTTTCCTTTGAGGTCCAATCTGCTAGCAGCTCTGTTCTTCTTTTGAGTATCAAACTCATTGCTAGTTGATGATGATAAGTGTTGAGAAAGCCAATCAACACGCCATGCATTTGAGATCGGGGATAATTACTCGCGCTTATGAATTACGAAGCACAAAATCAAAATTATAAAGAGAGAAAAGAAGAATCTCGGCCATAAAAGTTATGAACATAACCCCACCGTAGATGTGTCGGCGATCACAAGTAAACTAAAATGAGGGCATAAAAATTGATTAACCAAGAAAGAAAAGAAATAGAGAGAAGAAGCCCTAGTGGCAGAGCGTCATGGTCACATAAATCAAATTTCAAATCTCGCAAAAAAAAAAAAAAAGACAATTGGCAACACTTTGAGCCGTTGCTTCATCTTTGATGACCGTCACAAATGTCACCATAGTTCGCCCAAATAATTTTCTACGTAAAGTTGGGGTTCATCTCCATCAAAGCTCTGACCGACGTTGCATGCATCCTAATAACAATTCGAGAAAATGTTTATATTTGTCATCATCAGATTAACTTAGTTTCTCATGGAATTGAGGAAAGAGGGAAAACCGTGATGAATTAGAAGAAGGATCAGGAAGAGAACGAATGAAAATCAAGAAAATGAATGAGAAAAATTAATTTAAAATGAAACCACCACCCGAGGCCAACTGTTGATGAGGTCGGTTGCCGTCGTGAATTAGCCAAAACCAATAAGAAACAAAAATAAAAGGATAATATCTATTTATTAGTCAAATATTTTTATGATTTTTTTTAACCAAACCATTTGAAATACTAAAAATTAGCTAAAAGTTTTGTAATGCATCAAAATATTAATCATTTATACGTTATTGTTAATAAATTTTTTTAACTCTTTTCTTAGTTAAAATACTAAAATTTTGGAATGTTAACCTCTATGTATCTCTTCGAAGTTAGTATTATGTTGTTAAGTTAATATTACTAATAAAATTGCTAACTGAAAGTTAACATTTGGTTAATTATTAGTAATTCAATAGGTTTGGCTAATAAAAAAGAATCTGAAAAAAGTTTGGCTAATGAATAGTCATTACCCAAATAAAAAAGAGTTTGCAACACATCAATAAAGAAGCGGATGTGAGCAAATTAATTATATGTTATATAATTTATAAATATATAAATAATATAATGACTTTTTCATAAATTCGGGTTAAACCAAATTAAAATTGTCGGACCATTAACTTTCAACCAACTTAATCAACCGGGTCAACAGACTAAATTGGGATGACAACCTTGGAGATGAGCAAAAGAAAAATAACCCACAGCTCTAGCATAACTCTATTAGCCAAAATTGAAAAAAAACATAAAACAAAAATAAATATGCAACACAACAATAAGAAGTGTATTGTGAGAAAAGTAATTGAGCTTATGCCCATAAAAAATGGGCCACCAACATTGATCAAAAAACATATACTAATGGGCCAGATCCCTCTTCAGTAGTTGTGACGTGTGAATTAAACCTACCAGTCATTTTAGCCTACCTCTTATGCTACAGTAACCGCATAGTAACTTTAATTAGTATTAAGATGTATATGCAGAATAAATGACTTCACGTATTTTATCAGTCTTTTGTGACCCCCTAAAGCTTTTCAGAGTACACGGTTTTGGAGCTCCAACAATTTTTCCCCCCTTACAATCGTTTCAAACCTAACCCTGCATTCTGAAAATACATGCATACTGCAAATGACACGTCCAACGTACATGCTTTGACATCATGACCAATTAATGATACCGTTTGTTCAGGTTGTTGGTACGATGGGATACGCAGCTCCTGAATACATCCAATTGGGACGCCTCACATCCAAAAGCGATGTGTGGAGTTATGGCGTTTTCCTGTATGAACTCCTCACAGGTAGGTGGCCCCTGGACCGAAACCGGCCCAAGAACGAGCAAAAGCTCTTGGAGTGGGTGAAGCCGTACCTATCAGAGAAGAGGTTCCAACATATTTTGGACCCCAGGCTGGAGGGGAGATTCCGGCTAAGGTCAGCCCAGAAGCTTGCTAACATAGCGAATGATAGAACCTGGGATTAGGGTTCTATCGGATCTGGTTGTGAGATTGGGAATTAGGAATTTAAGAATAGAATTAGGGATTTGAGGAGAGAAGGATAGAGAATCGGCCTAGGCCTTTAGAATGATTGGGAACGAGAATTGAGAGGATTGGGAGATTAGGGTTTAGGAGAGTTTTCTTAATATTCTTCTTGACTGCCTATGAATGAAAGACCAATTACATATTTATAGCGAAAGACTAGAAAAACCTAATAGACTATCCTAATATGGCTCAAAGACTAATAACCATATCTAGATAAATCCTAATAATATTAATATTGATAATTATGGGTAAACCTAAAAAGTAGGTTTCCATCATCCCCTTCCCCTTGAAAACCAACCTTGTCCTCAAGGTTGACCAACTCGACCCACTTCTTCACATCGTTCGTGCAACCCGCGCATTTGATCCTCCATTTCTTGCGCTTTCTTTTCTTCCAATCTTGCTCTACTACTCGACTTGTACCTCTTGCGTTGACCTTGTGCTGGTCCAACTTTTTGAACTTCACTTTCATGGGCCCACTACTTGCTTCTTTCTTGTACAAGGATCCATCCTTGAGTATCAATCCATCAAAAACTTTAACTTTCATGTTGATGGCCCATGCAAGTTCCTTCTCGACAAAAGGCCGAAACACGACCCGTTCCTTGGAGATTATCTTCCTTGGACCAAGTCCATCCACTTGCTCAATTGCCTCTTCAACTGCTTTTGGGTCGTGTTATCCAACAAGCCCATCTTTAAAGTCAAGAGAATGGTCTTTCCAAGTCCTTAAGCCCACTCCATATAAAAGTGATCTAACCAAAGGGCCCATTTGAAGCCAAGTCTTCCTTGAAAAGTTGATTCATCCTTTCCTTGAATCCAGCTGTCCCTTTTATTATTGAGACCAGAACAAAACCCCTGATCGGCCCTCATAACTTCCTGGTCCGGCCCGTAAGCCAACCTTAGCTCGGCCTACTTCATTCCCAATCGAGGCCCACTACACTGCTCTTCTTGGCCCGAATGCGGCTGTGTGGCGCTACCTAACAGAGGGTTTGCGAGGAGCGACCTTGCACCCTCCGTCACCTCTTTGCTTACCGGGCTCTGGCCCGTTAGTGCAAGCCGGCTCCACTGGTTTGCTCGGCCCGCGATACCCTGGCCCAATCGAAGCAGGGGTGGCGACCAAGGGTTTGGAGACCCAAAGCTTCGCCCGCCGCCCTCGTTTGCTTTGCTCGACGGCGGTCTCCTCTCCCTCGTTTCTTCCTCCAACGGCGAACGACCCTCCAGGCGGTCGTTTGCTTTGCTCGGCGGTGGCCACCTCTCCCGTAACACCTCCATCTTCGACGACTCGCGAGAAAGTCCACCGCTATCTCCTTCATTTTCCCTCTCCGGCTTCAACTCCAGTTCCACCTCCCTTGCCGTGTTTAACCCAACTGGCTCCGCTGCCGACGTTTTCTCCCTTCGCAGGAGTCGCAGTCCCGGCGACTCGACTCGATGGCCACGAGGAGCGCCCAAAGTCGGCCTCGTCTTCTCGGTGGTCGGGCTGCTTCCTCGCCAACCCGACAGATCCGCCGCTTCTTTCGTCGCCCCCAGCACTTCCTCTCCCGGTGGTGATCTCGCCTGCATCTCATTCTTCTTCTCCACGCCATTTTTCGGGGTAGCCGACGCCGCCAGCAGCCTTATGCCCGTCCCTGGCTCGTCGGTCCCTGGCTCTGCCCGTCTGACCTTCGTCGCCGCGACTGGGGCTGCCCGCGGCGCCTCTTCTCCCATCACGACCGGAGACCGGATTCCCCCGCTGGATTCTTGGACAGCACGAGAAGAAGAAAAGTCTCCGCCCTTCTCCTTCACCTCCTCCTTTGGAACTAGCGTCCATGGCGGTCGGCGGCAGCCCTGGTCGCCGGTGGTTTTGTCTCGGACGATGATATCACAGCAGCCGTTTCCACCCCGAGGTCGTTGTCTATCAATGGCAGCAGTTCAGCTAGCCTTTCTGCCCGGTTCTCCAGCTCTGCAACTGGAGCAGCAGTGGTGGCAATATATTTCATCTGCAACGATACGAGTGCAGTTGGGATGATGGTAACGGCCGAGTTTGATCGCTGCGGTTTTGGCGATGGTTCATCTTTAGTGTTGAATGGCGAGGCTGAGTCGAGTATTGTGGTGGGCGTCCGAGGTTGCTGCTCGTCTTTGATCTCAACATCTGGTCCTTCATCTTCGATTGCAGGTTGGGTAAGTACGGCGGTGATTTTTGCTACCGGTGGTGGTGAAGCCGCAGCGATGATGGTTGGTTGAGGAGCCAATTGAGGAGCTGCGCCGATTGAGTTGATTTCCACGGCGACAGGAGCAAACTCCACGATAGTAGGGGCGTCTTCAATGGTGGCTGATGCTGATGAATCCTTTGACGTTGACTCTGGCTGGTTGCGGCTCGCGCGGCGGCGAGTCACGCGACGCTCGAGTTTGGCTCGAAGTTCTTTCAGGCCTGCCATCATATAGTTGTTGTGAGCTTCCCTCCTAGCTTCATACTCTATCCTGCTAGCTTCACATTTTACAAGACTGGCTTGGAGAGCTTCAAACGCGTGACAGATTTTCTGATGACAATTCCCTGGTGAGAGTTGTGATGAACTCAAATCTGTGACTATGGCTCTGATACCAAATGATAGAACCTGGGATTAGGGTTCTATCGGATCTGGTTGTGAGATTGGGAATTAGGAATTTAAGAATAGAATTAGGGATTTGAGGAGAGAAGGATAGAGAATCGGCCTAGGCCTTTAGAAGGATTGGGAACGAGAATTGAGAGGATTGGGAGATTAGGGTTTAGGAGAGTTTTCTTAATATTCTTCTTGACTGCCTATGAATGATAGACCAATTACATATTTATAGCGAAAGACTAGAAAAACCTAATAGACTATCCTAATATGGCTCAAAGACTAATAACCATATCTAGATAAATCCTAATAATATTAATATTGATAATTATGGGTAAACCTAAAAAGTAGGTTTCCATCAGCGAACATGTGTTTGGTCAGAAATCCAAAAGCACGTCCAAAGATGAGTGAGGTGCTAGAATTGGTGAACCGAGTGGTGGATTCATCGATAGAGCCATCGAGCCCTGAACGAAGCTTCAAGAACTCGGTGTCAATGGGGAACAAGAGGAAAGCAGATTCAAGTGCCCGACACCATAGCAGTAGCAGGTGGTTCATGGGAATGTGCTCTCCAAGCCTTGTCAAAACATGCTGATATGTGGGATAAGGTCAACATCGCTCATGTGAACAGGTGCATTACACATTTGTGTTAGCATGGAAGCTTTAATGGTAAGCTTGATATAGAGAAAGAAAGAGAACTCACTAGAAGTGAATTCGAAAGAAGGGCCAAGGGTAAGTTTTAGGCCCGGAAAGTGTCGGTTACCGGCCGGTAGCAGTAGTATGCCTTGGAAATCGATGCTTGCTTGTTATTAGTTAGAGGTTTAAGAAGCTTCCCCAAGTCCTGACTGTCACCCACTTTCTGGTTAACTTAGGCGCCGGATGTTATTTTTAGCAAACGTCGTTGAAACTATTGTAATTTTGAGGTTTCTAATGTACCCTATATATATTGAATACTAGCTTGTTACCCGGCCCGTTGGTCGGAGGTAGCTGAGCCGAATATTGGATTATTGATATGGAGATAATAATGCTCATCTCATTAGTCAACATCTCATTAGTCACTTGTTGGTTTATGTATGTTGTAGAAGGCAACATCTCATTAGTCACTTGTCATTAGTTGGTAACGGAATAGGAAGTACAACTTAGAATGCAAGTTTGTTTGTGTTGAAAATTGAAGCAGCCAAAAATTGGTTGCAAAAACATTAAACATTGATATGATATAAGTTAAAGGTTGATGGTATTCCAGTTTCCTCCTCGAACCCTCAAAAGTTGGCATATAAGAAAAGAAATCTTAGCATATACATTCAAGAAGTACAACTTAAAAAAACCACTTGCAGAGGAGCGAAAGGGACCAGCTTGAGGAAAGGGGTTTTCTTCAAATACTCGCCTATGCATATTTTTGTAATTCAACGAGGAGAAACTTCATACCAGGAAATTACATGAATGCCAATCGAATAGATAAATTCCACTTGAATAGTAATCAAGTATCCAACTACGCATTGTATTAGATGATATAATGTTCATACTATTCTAAGCAAAAAATAAATAATTGTAGGAAGAATAATAATATTAACTCACGGGAAGTTACTATAACCCACCTCTGTATGAGCAACCAGAGGGCGGAACCCTGGTGACCTTAGAGTTAGAAACTGAACTGAAGGCTTTGAAGAAGGCAATAGAACCCTAAATGCAACTACAATCAAGCACAAATCAGCAAGATTTTTTATTTGTCTGAAAATCGAGTACATAGAGAAAACAATTGAAAAATATATTAAATGCTCTAAGCAAGTTGAAGGAAAACCATAATTTTAAGATTTGGTCATTATAATAGCCTTCAAGTATTGATGCTTCTGAGAAATATCAAGTCCAACCACCACTTATACAACTAATGTAAACCATAGTAGTTAGTTCTATAATGACGAAACTTTACAAAGAAAACTACGTAAACAACCAATGTACGTAAGTAAAGATTGATACTAACAACATATAAAACTTAAGAGCTCTATATTGGTTTGAACATACCTCTTAGTAACAATTATGCAATCGAGTATAGATGATTTTTAGGCGTTGAATAAGAAAAGCATAGATGGCTCACAAATGAAGACCCAACACCTGAAGGTAGTAAACAAAAGCAAAAAATAGGAAAAGAGATAAGGAAATAGGCGAAAAATAGGCAAACAACGGAAAAAACCCGCATAGGAATACCTCGTTAGCTCTAAGGACTCTTTGTCACAACAAACAACCCTCTAGAAAATCCCAAACCCTGAGACATCAAACAAGCCTCCCATAATACTAATGTATGGCATTCCCATTTTTCAACATGTTTGTCCAATTCAAACTTCAAAACAAAATTCAAGCATTTGATTATTTCTAAATAAATGGAATTTTCACCATTAAACCATAACTCACCATCATTTACGATTAGTGCAAAGACATACATTTCTCTAACCAATCACAACATTTAAGCATAACTTTTAGTTGAAAAGAACAACTGAGCACTTAACTAAGTGATATATTAGAATGGATACAACTTCCAGCTAATAATATAAACGTATACCGGTACCTTCATTGTCTCCTGACCTATCGTTTGTGATGAGTTACTTTGAACTATAGCTGCATTTTAGAGAATAAACACCCATAAAGGCATTATTAAACCAAGTTTAGTCCAAAATCTTCATATTTCAAATCGAAGGTTCCATTTCAAAAATTAGAGAGTTTAACATGTCAAATCACAGGCTCATTTGAAAAATCTCAAACCACTATTAATAAATGCAACATAAATGCGCGTTCTAAATTCTATATTTGTTGGAAAAGTCTCAAATCATTATCAATTAATGCCCCCAACTACATGATGTTCAAAATAGCTCTGGAGCTAAATGATGTTTGCATTGGTTTACCTTCAAACACAACCGAATCACGAACCACAATAATTAAGCAAAAATCTTCATATTCCAAATAGAAAGACTCAATTCAATCTGATCTGTGCTATATACATATTGGTTACTCCTAGACCTGTTGCACTTGTTGCCTTCAGATCTTCATGAACTCAATACAATTGAGGAGATGAGGCTGTCAACGAAGAGCAGTGTGTTAATTAAATGGATCACCATACAGTTGAACAAACATGGGCCTCTTGATTAGCAATTAGAATAGTGGGGGTAGCTGCAATCCGTCGGTTGCTCTTTCTATGCATTCCAGTTAGAATCTCTGGCCTAGACAGTAGAGATTAGGGTTCAATGAGAATTTTAGGTACAGGAGGAGAAGACCCGGCGAGTAGAATGGGAAGCTTTGGCAAGGCTGCGATGGGTGCACGGTTAGTGGGCCAAATTTCACTTTGGGCCCGTTTAAATCAAAGCATGTTTTTACTTCGTGCTCAACAAACCGACCGCACTGACGCCTTCTAACTTACTTCTCCAAAAATTGCTCTGAATCCAACAAAATGAAATGGGATCCCAGTTTTCTCATTTTCCATTTATATTATGTGTTGATTGTAATGACTGATGAGTGTAGATGTAGACACGTCATTGCACAAAAAGTTCTTTAATACGTCAAAAAGTGGTGAAATGAACCACCCTATTAAACGCAATCTCGTATAATGATCGTTGGATCCAATCATGCAAGATTAGAAAGAGATTTAAACCTTAGCGGTAAACCCGACGAAACCTTAAAAGAACCAATCCCATATAGTTTGCACAAAGATATGATTGCTTCATAGTAGTTCTGAAAACTAATACTAATTTAAGAATTCGACATCGCTTCTACATATTTAGTATTGCGATTCGATATGCAATATTTGAACCGGTGATATTTATGCTGCAGTATGAAGGTTATAATAATTTATAGGGTAATGTCTATTTTTTATCCAAACATTTTTCAGATTCTTTTATATTATTCAAACCTATTAAAATTCTATTAATTATCCAAATCTTTCGTAATCTATCAAAATATTAGCCATTTTTACGTTAACGTTAATAATTTTGTTACCCTTTTCTTAGTTAAAATACTAAAATTTTAGAATGTTGACCTTCATGAGTCTCTTCCAAGTTAGTATCATGTTGCCAAGTCAATATTACTAACAAAATTGTTAACTGGAAGTTAACATTTGACTAATTTTTAGTATTTTGATAGATTTGGATAATGTAAAAGAATCTGAAAAAAAATTTGGATAAAAAATAGACATTACACTAATTTATAAGATAGATAGAAATTTACATTATTAAAATACAACTAAAATAATCAAAATATGAAAATAAAATTATCAAAACACCAAATAAGTACTTTTGGGAGATTTAGTGACCAACTAATCATTGAAAGAGTAATATAATTTTTAGAATTTAGGTTCGTGTATGTTTTTAATTTAAACAAGTACAACAAAATTACTTAGTCTGATTGGTTATAATCCTTGTTTTTCTATAGAGTGACCATGGTTTAAAGCCCACTATGTATCTCTTTTTTATGAATAAATAAGAAAGAAATAGGTCATTGTAAATACCCAAATGTCTTTTCTACATTCACTCTCATTGCAAGAAATTTGAAATGGAGCAACACTTTTCTTCCTTATGCTATTATATTATGGATAGATAGATAGCATCAACTACGTATATAATCGGTGATATGATGCATATGACTTATGAATTAATTAAGGACTAATAACACTCTAGGCATATACTTTACGATTTTTGTCATTTGTGTCAAAAAATATTTTGATATGACAATTGCATCGTCAATTTTGTTCCTCCGTTCATTTTGATCATTGATGGTCAATGATCAACGCATTTACCAATGATGTATCAACTGACTTGCATTTTTGGATTTTCCCCAAAATACAAGAATTATTATTCCCAATTCCAACTACATCAAACTTTGCAAAAATTGTCCCCAAATATACAAGAGTTTGAGGCTGTTTGTTGGAGTGTATAACGATCTGTGAGATGGTTTGTTAGAAAGAGCTACCTGGATTATCGTCGACCCAAGAATAACAACCTCAAATTGACATGGGTCTCGATACACTCAAACGAACCCACCTTGGATCAATGTGGTTCATGTCACACTCCACGTAAATTGTTTATGACATCTGAGATCTACACCTTACCAGCAAACTTTTAACGACTGCACTTTACACCCGATTATTCGATAGTACTAATCTCATAACTTTTCTAGATCTTAGAAGCCACAAATAGTCAAAGGTAGTTGGTCCACCTTCGTCGCAAAAATCACCATTGGCTACCCCAAATGGGCCATTTTTCAATTTAGCAAAACTTTTGACAGTCATAATGATTTTACATTTCTTTTCAAGGACTACTACTTTAACTAGGGATCAATTTCTAAAAGATAAAATGTGTTCGGTTTTAAGAGGGTTTGAGAATAAGTTTAGATTTAATTGTCACCTTTCAACATATATATATATATATATATATATATTTATGGGTAACATCAAATTGACATGGGTCGCGATACACTCAAGCGAACCCACATTGGATCAATGTGGATCATGTCACACTCCACGTAAATTGCTTATGACATCTGAGATCTACACCTTACCAGCAAACTTTTAACGACTACACTTTATACCCGATTATTCGATAGTAATAATCTCAT